AAAAACGTCCTCATTTTATATCAAATTAGTTAACAACCGTGATCTGACGAGTTACAATGACCTCGCATGTCGATTCCCCGTGGAAAAAATAGAATTAAGAAGAAACTAAAAATGAAAGTTTATTATTTGATTATACTGTTGGGATTAAGTTAGAAGGAACAAAATTTATAGTAAAATATATCTCGTTATAACGAAAGAATATACTTTTATTCATACTCCGAATATATTTGATTATTCTCAGGAGAATTCCATAAAGCTCTTTGCCGTTCAGCTGAAAATTGTGATTTCAATTTTAAATTATAATTTTTCTAAAAAGAAAAAGAAATTAATTTTATTGTTATCATTTTTGACCAAAAAATTTACAAAATTTTTTGTAAATAATCATCATATATTTATATACTTTTTACAAACATATATTTTCATACCTATAATATTTTATACCATTATCAGTATTTATATAATTGACAATTGAATTTATTAAAAATAATTTTTGTATTCAGTTTCAAATCTTATTGTATATTGTTTGCATCTTCTTATGCTTTTTTACCAAAATGTGCCAACATAAAGGGAAAAACCATTGCAAAAAAAAAAAAAAAAAACAGAAAAACATTGTTGAAATAAAAAATGTGTAGGATACAAATAAAATGCAAACTCACTTATTTGAATTATTCTTGAAAAGATAACATTATATACATTTATTGAAATACAACACATTGATGATGGCATTGATACATTCTTAAAAATTAAATATTTATAGAGATATACATTTAACATAAAAATTACAAATATTATAAACCTACATAAAGAATACAGCTAACACTGTAGAGAAAGGCTGCCTAATTTATTTTGAAATCAAGCTATAATTTCAATTACATTAATACATACGCCTATATAAAATACAATACACAAAAACATTTAAAGAAATAATAATAATTAAAATACCATAGAATGTTGACGGGCAAATTCAAATGCGTTGACTGACGAATTCGTGGCTCGCGGGCCTGGGTTTGGGCAGCCTTGCTGAAGACTCTACAGAGTAGAGCCTTTTCGAAACATAACAGTGGTGATATAGTGATTCTATAATATTTACATAATATTTATAGTGATCGTATTAAATTAACAACTATGTACTTATATAATGCTCGTCAACGCAGAAAATATTTATCAGTTAAAACATGATCTCCAACTGGTGTATTTATCGGTTTGTGATATTTATGAACTTATTCGTGGTAAAATATTGGATGGCTCACAATATTTTGATGAAAATATCTCAGTAAATATTAATTGTTTCGTCTTAGCACAGTTAAATAATGCATTACAGTTGTCATTCATAATTGCTAAAGAATATTTAGCGTAGCAGTACAAATGGCTCTATCACCTTAATTAATGTTTCTGTCGTAGAATAGGTTACCTAATTTATTACAATAGTCAATTTAACTACTAGTTATAGCTGTCCTCTGCCATGAGGCAATGGATTTACATTTTTTTATATCTATGGAACCAATAAACTGCTTTTAAATAACTGCAAAACTTTGAAATGTTCGTAACAACTTGAAACAAAGAATGGACTATTTTATAATTTTAAAGAAATTAAAGTTTCAAAGTTATTTTTCCCCGCCGTCACGGTATTTTTTATCAAAAAAAAAAAAAAAGAAGAAAAAAAGAAACTTATATCTATGATAATATTTCAGAGTATCATGGGGCAAAAGGTTCACCATCAAGTATTATTGTATGTGCGATATTGGATTATCACCCGTTTAGGCAAGAGCGTACGAGCAATAAATAACAATAATAATAGCAGTTTAGTGCGTAGCATTAATACCAATTGGTATGCCGTAAAAACAAGATATAATAATTAATAACGTCGTTATAGTCACACTGTATATGTAATAGCTAGGGGTATACGCGTAGAATATACAACGAGGTGCGAACAACCGACAATCAACGATAATAACCGTTATGGAGATTTAATATTCATCGGTTAAAGCGGTGAGTAATATACATACCATAGCGTGATGTACATAATTCTACAGTCAAAAATTCAGTTTTTAACTTCAGAGTGCTAAAATTATTTATTTCTAGACAATCCACGAGATACTTCATCTTCTACACTTGTTTGATTTGGTATATTTTAATTTAAAAATAAAATTATAAACAACTACATTAAAGACAATCGAGATCTCGTTAAAAAAGTGTAACATAATAAACTTGGTACAGGGATCTTCACAATGTTGACGATGTGAAACCAATCACTATTTATTAGTATAAAGCAGGGATGAACAACTGACGGCGTGTAGGTCACATCCGGCTCACGTATTTTTTTTATCTGGACCGTGTTACATTTTTAAATTACTTCATAATATTTTAGCGTTTATCGATATTTCATTGTATTTCGTTGATCGTAAAAGGTATATAATTTATTCTTATCTAATATTGAACTGCAACTATATTATTAAATGTCAAAATATAATTTAAATCTATTTCGATATAGTTATCACAGCTATTGTAGCTATTAAATCTATAATAGGTATTAGGTTTGTATTTTATTTCATTGGTTTTGTCGTAATATTAAATGATATAAAATTAATACTACTTGACAATTTTTTTTTTTTTTTACTTTGGCTAGCTAAATTTTAAAATTCTATAAATTGGCCTTACTTTTTTTTCTCCTATTTTGTTATTGAAATTCCCATTTTTTTTTTCTACTTAGAGTTTTCTAACTCTGATGTGTAGAATAACTTTTATTAGATTTTACAGAGTCATCTGCTGCACGTTGAAAAGTGTTTTGAAAATGTTCACCAGTATCGATGAGTTCGAAACATATATTAAGGAACGAAACGGTAACGGCGACAGTCAAACAAGATATACAAAAATATTTTATAATATAAAAGAAACGGGATAGTAATAAGAATGTGCTGTGTAGAAAAAGAAAATGGTGATAACAATATAAAAGTTTGAGAGTCGATTTTGAAAAAAAAATAAATACAAGGATTTATATTTTTTGTATTATATATATATATATATTATACATAATAAAATAAATGCATATATATATATGTATCGTGTGAGTGTGTGTATGTGTGTGCACAATATTGTACGTTTGGACGAAAGAAGAAATTCATAATCGAACGAAAATAATACAGTAGATTTACGCTATAATATCGAAGCAATGTCGGACAATGTACGGATGATCAACGCGTTTCAAGGGTACGGACATAATAATAATTCTTGGTAGTAGTACTACGACCCATAGTGTAAATGTTTGATGAGAAAATGGACGTCTCGGATTTCGAGAATACAACAACTGGGTAAAGGATCATATTAGTATTGTATTCGTTATGGATTTTTTCCGGGGGGGGGGGGGGTGATAACCGAAGAATATGTTTTAACATTGGCCGTTATTACAATATATATATATATATATATATATATATATATATATATTCAATAAGATAATCTAAATGAATAATTGGTAAAGGTGTGTAGTTATATACCTGCATTTGCATTAGTATTAATGGCATCTAATAGTATTTCCAAAAGCCGACCGAGAAATATGCATAATAAGTAGGTACTTACGAATTCAGATTTATATTTAAATGTGTGTAATATTATTATAATATTATATTGTCTGTACTGCATAACAACAATATTATTTTGAACAACCTATAATTTAATAAAACATTTTAATGAAATGAAAATTTAATAAACCACTTAATAAATATAAAATATAAAATGTAAAACAAAAAAAAAACTTGCAGATACGTTTATTATGCATATTTCTATTAAAGTTTTGAATATTTATATCCGTGTGTTTGTCCGGAACAATGAAGTACTGCTGATCCTGCCGCTGCAATATACTGTACAATATACTGAAAAAACAATAACTAATGAACTAGCCGTAATTGTATTACAATAGATTGTTGGTAATTTTCTAAAATGCATTATGACCTATAAACGGTTACGGGATGGGAGTTTAAATATTAATTGAAAGAACAACAGAAACTAAAAAATATTATACATTTTTATCGCATTTGAAATTTGATTTAATTATCTCATATTGTTGTTGCCTTTGCCGGCAAATGAACAAAATAATGTTTAATTACGAGTCGTCCATTAAACTACGACGTGCAACCAAATGAGTCCTGTAGCATGTTAACTAATCAACTTTATATCAATTTATTCGATTTTAAAGATAATAGCAAACATTTCAAACGCATGACCTTGAATCCTACTGGATGTTTTTTTGTGTACAAAACATATAAATACTATATAATAATTATATAATTACTAGAAATATTTTTTGATAACTTCAATTTTAATCATTTTTGTCCCTGTATACCCAGTAAAATAAAAATGACTTCAAAAGAAACTACTATTTTTTAAACTGAATTTAAATGGCTTTAATATTTCTAAGCAACATTGAACTTTACAATTTTTTGATATTTTCAAAATAGATATTCTTAGGACGGTCGAATGTTTCGAAGTAGGTGAACCGTAATTTATCACACATTTATAGGAATTATTATAACAGTTTATTTAGATTAAAACTATAAAGTACCGAATTGGTTCCCGAGCTTCAATCTTACGTGCCGAATTGGTTCCCGTCTGAAAAAAGTATTTTATTAGTTATAGCCGAATTTATTTCCGTTTAATTACGCACATTTTTCATCTCAATGAATAGGCTTAGGACTTGGAGTAACCAAATTGGTTCCCGTTTGTGTACAGGGAAAATAGTGACAATTTTAATTTTTAACACAATTCACCTTTTTTTTTTTTTTTTTTTTTAGCTTTTACGAGCCATTTAGGCTCTTTGCTTCTAACATTAGTTTTCCCCAAACATCTCTTGCATTGCCTAGATCTAAGTTTCCATTTCAATCCGGCTTTAACTCCTCTATATCTCTTCTAACTGTATCTAGCCATCTTTGCCTTGGGCGTCCCCTTGGTCTTTTCAGATCTATTTGATTCACCATAACCATCTTTATGAGGGACCCATTAGCTCTTCACGCATGCCCAGTCCAAGCAAGTCTTGAACTCTTTACGAACTGCACTATGTCCTCTTTTAAATATAGATTCTTCAGATCCTCATTTGACCTCCTTAGCCATTTTTGCTCCTTGTCATCGAAAATAGGTCCATAAATTTTTCTCAACATTTTTCTCTCGAAGACGAGGAGCTTTTTGTAGTTCCCTCCAGTTGTGGCCTATGTATTACAACCATAAGTAGCAATTGGTCTTAGATATATTGTGTACAGTTTCTCTTTGTTTTTTCTAGATAGTAACCTAGATTTAAACAATGGCAACATAGCAAAGTATGCTTTGTTAGCAGACTGTAGGTGTAGCTTGATTTCCTCGTGCATGCAATTTGTATTATTTACATTAACGCCTAGATATTTAGAAGAGCTAACCTGTTGAAAGGTGAGACCATCCACTTCCAAGTCTTTCATGTTCTCTTCGCTTTTCGTCTTCCTTGACAGAAACATGTATTTGGTTTTTTCTTGGTTAACTGACAGACCTATCTGCCTACTAGCCTTTATTAGATCAACTAGTGTCTAAATTACATCTTGTCTAGTGTCTCCAAGGAGAACCAGGTCATCTGCATAAGCTAGGCATGTATACCCCTCATTCACTTCTATTCTTTGTCATATAGATACACTCCTTATGATTTCTTCCAAATCAAGGTTTCCAAATTTCTTTAAAGCAGTCCACAATTTGCTAAGGTTTATATTATCGTAAGCTTGTTTAAAGTCCACGAATACTAAATGAATATCTTTGTTAAACTCATGATGTTTTTCTAGGATCTGTCTTATAGCAAAAATATGATCTGTGGTTGATTTTCCCTTCCTAAAACCACACTGGTAGTTGCCAATAGTTTCTTCTGCATACTTTTGTAATCTTCCTAGCAAGAGAGACGACAGAACTTTGTATCCTACATCCAGTAATGATATTCCTCTATAATTAACTACTTGTTTTGGGTCATTTTTTTTTAAATATCGGACAAATGATTGCCGTTTCCCACTCTTTTGAAATTTGTTCTTTTTGCCATATCAACAGGACTAATCTATATATGTTTCCTCTGAGTTGTTGACCGCCACTTTTTAAAAATTCTCCAAATATCTCATCTTCTCCGGCTGCTTTGTTGTTTTTTATTAAATTGATAATTAAATCTATTTCTATACTACTAGGCTGTAATTCAGTGGACTCTTCAGCGCTGTGTATGATAATTTCCTCTTCTTCTTGAATATCTCCTTGGACTAGTTCAGATTCATTATTATTTAACAGCCTGTTGAAATAGTTTTTGAATTCTTCTGCAATGTCTTTGCTATTCATGATCAGATCTCCCTTCTCATTTGTTAAAGAGCAAATCGCAGGTCTGTAGCCATTCTTCAAACTTTTTCATCGTCTGAAAAATTCTTTTGGGTTGTGTCTATATTTTTCCATTTCTTCTATTTTTTCTTTTTCAGCTGTTCTTTTTTGCTGTATTATAATTTTTGTGGCCTCCTTCTTTTTTAACTCGTATTCCTCAATATTAGCTTGCGTAGGGAATTGTAACATTTTCATCCTCGTCTGATTTCGTTGTTTAATTATTACTTCACACATTTGATTGAACCAAGGTTTTATTTTATCTTTGCGCTGACATTGTATAGTTTCGTCCGCCACATTTAATAAAGAGTTTTTAATTCGCTTTCATGCGTCATCAACGTTTTCATCCAGTATTGCTTATCAATACCTTTTTGATATTGTTCTATGGCCGCATTATCACATAATTTATCAATATTGTACCTACAAGTATTCTTATTATTCAACTTCTGTTTGCGAGTTATTGGCTTTTTATAACAGATTAGAACTAAATAGTGGTCACAATCCCCATCAGATCCTCTGTGTGATCTAATATTGCTAATACTAGATCTATGATTTTTGTTTATCAAAACATGGTCTATCTGGCTTTTGTAAACGTGATTTGGAGCTGTCCAAGTGTGCTTATGTATAAACTTTCTGGGAAAAAAAGTGCTAGTTGTTATCAGGTCCTTAGCGATAGCATACTCAATAAGTTTCATTCCGTTTCCATTACTAATATCATGAGCACTTTCTCCTCCAATCGTAGGTTTGTACATTGTCTCACTTACCACTTGGGCATTGAAATCTCCTAATAATATTTTTCAGCAGTGGTTTGGCAATTTATCATACGTCCTTTCTAGTTCTTCGTAGAACACCTCCTTTTCATCATTGGGTCCTGTTTCAGTGGGGGCATACACACATATTAATATTAGGTCACTAGATTTATCAGCTATGCGCATGTAGCATATTCGGTCGCTTACTGGTTTAAAATGTTTTACATGAGGTAGTAAAAGTTCATTAACTAGAAAACCCACCCCATTTATGTGTCTACCGTATTTATCATCACTATAAAATAATGTCATTCCTTCTGTTTTGACGCTTCCTTTTCCTGGCCACCTGATCTCCTGCAATGCAGTTATTAGTACATTCTTGTATTTTTTAATAGCGTCTGATATTGATTTCAGTGCACCAGGTTTAAATAACGATCTAATATTCCATGTTTCTATCGCCGTTTCCGTTCGTTTTCCATAATAGTCTGTGTCCGAGGCTTATTTGTTTTTAGTTTATAAACATTACATTTTTTACAAGAATGGGTCGTTGGCCCATTGCTTAATCTCCATCTTGAAGGGTCTACTGCCTCAACCAATTAAGGACAAGGTAGGGCTATTTCAATACACCAAAGTATTGCCATACTTTCCCAACGCCATTGCTAAACTGAACCAACTAATTAAAGTCAGTTCAATTTAGAGCTCGGGGCCCCGGGTTCGCTATACCCGTACCACTAGTTAATGGCCCCCTGAGGGACACACAATTTACCTAGATTATTAAAAATTAAAATCCAGTGGGCCAGTACATAGAGAGCAAAAAACAAGATTTTAAAAGCCATATGTATGACATATAGACACAATTATAACATCGATATGATAGAGTATAGAAATATAATAGACTATAGATTACTAGAAACTAGCAAATTATTAGCAAACAGGAAAAAAATAACAAATACTTGGAAAATTGTATGACTGAGTACATTAATGAAAAGATTACGAGAATTGAAAATTTAAAGAAAGTTAGCTTTAAATTTGCAAATCAGTGGTTTCAAAATGTATTCATTATATTTTATTATTTGTATTTCGTATACCTAAGTGATGACTAGTTGACTTCCAAATCAATGATTTAAAATTTTATATATTTTATCATTCTTTTTTAATACACATTAACGCATATTGTTAACCAAGCCTACATTAAATTTTTGACAGTCCTGAGCCTGTAAAATTGAGAAAGAAAATGTGCGTAATTAAATGGAAATTAATTCAGCTATACCTCATAAGACACCTTTTTCAGATGAGAACCAATTCGGCACGTGAGGTTGGAGCTTGGGAACCAATTCCGTACAAAAATCATGCCAACTCTTTGATATTTGCGACTTTATTTAATGCAAGAATGTAAGTGTCAATAGTCTTGTTCGAGAGTAGGCTGAGTATGACAGAAACATAGTTATATTTTACCTTAATAAAAATAGAAAATAATTGGTTAAATTGTTTAGGATTACTTTTGAAATTAAATTTTTTTTTGCTCTCTATACACTGGCCTACTAGATTTTAATTTTTAATAGTGTAGGTAAATTGTGACAAAAATTAAAATTGTTTTATCTGTAAAAAACAACAGTGGGAACTGATTTGGCTATAGGTATCTAATAAAATACCTTTTTCAAACGGGAACCAATTCGGTTACTCCCAATCGTCTTTGCAGCACAGAAACTAAAGCTCCATATTTTATGTGTACACGTTTTTACGTGTTCACATGAAATAAAAGTTTAGTTGCTTAAAATTGCATGTGTATTTATAATTTTCTTCACGTGAATCCGTGAGTACCGACTACCTGTTATTTGTCATATATGTATATTTATGATAAAAAAAAAAAACAAAAATAAAAATACTCGCGAATACTCGTGTAATTTTCTTCTACTTTTTTTTTTACATTACATATATGTAATATATATATACCCATATGTTATTCGATTGAGTTACTTATGTCGATAATCGTTAGAATTGTTTGTACTATGAGCATTAAGTGAATGAATTAAATTTTTTTAAAAAAAAAAAAAAGAAAGAAAAACCAAATTAGATATAAGTATATTTAACAAAAAAAAACTCTGACTTCGGAAAAAATTACGCAATGAAGAAAATAAAAAATGTAAGTGCATTTAAAATACGAGTAATAATTTAAACAAAGAAAAATAAATCCATGATTGTTATTAGTATTTATTTAATTAACATTAAATTCTTTTGAAGTTGGGCGCCCTTCATAGTTAAACAATAATAATTATACTGAGACTAACACATAAACAGTTATAAATTAAAAATTCGCCATACAAAACTAAAACATAGATATACATATGCTAGACTAGTCTAATAATCATTAACACTAAGTATAACTGTTAAAGTACACTCAGTAAATAATAATAATTATTATTTTATATACGAGTATAATTTAAGATGAATTGTTACATATAGAATTACATGAAATAAATTTATGCAAATAGATAATGTAATAATAAATAGATTAATAAAATAATGAACAAAAAAGTCATCTAATTAATAACTGATAATTATTTTATTTATAGTTTATAATTGTATAATGGGCTTACATCCATGTGATACCCATCTTAACTCAAAAATATATTTAGTGCAACCATTCTTGATTTTAGTTTAAAAATATCAGCATGCTTACATTTTTAGTCAGTATTTGATAACTGTTGACGATTGTATATAACTTGTAACATTCGGTAAAAATGATGGCATCAATGTGTGAGTTTTGATCATTAGTGTATGTGTGTTTGTTTATACTATTTGCTAAATCACTGTTCACTTGAATATACTAGTTCACGGGTTCACATGATTAAGTTTTTTTTTTAATTTCATATATTGATACGTGATGATGACAATACGTCATTTATTTTATTTCACATGATCACATGATCATATGGCATACGTGAACATGTAAATTTATATTTACGTAACTATATTAACTATATTAACTATATTAACTATATAAACTATTTTAACTATATTCCTAACAGGAACCGCTAGCGGAAGCGAATTCGTTAAGGTGAAATACAACTTACAAGTGAAATGATAATGAAATAACGAATACGTTTGAAATTCCATTTCATTGTACATCAAATGTCTACTACATTTTCCTTGATCATAAAGCCAGAAAATGTAATACAATATTAAATTTTGATTTGTTTAATATGAGAGTTTATACCCATCAATTCATTGTTTCTCAGCTATTAATGTATATTATTTATGTTTCATCACGTTATTTAATTGTTAAATGTTTAGGATCATTATCATATTTCATAAAATGTATTTAAATTTATTTTATTTATTTTTTTAATTTTTTTTTTAATATATTTTATTTTTAAATAATTTGTAGTTAATAATATGTCAATATTTGTGTTAATGTTAAGAGTGTTTATTTTGAGCCCTCATGGGCGTTTATCCTAAAAAATAAATTATTAAATTAATGTTTATTTTAATAATAATACTTTCGTGGAGGTAGTGTGACAAAAAAGGAAAAAATGACGGAGAAAAAAAACGCAAAAAGTTAAATAGAACCAATCGCTGCGGACAGGGTTCGAACCTGTGCGGGCAGAGCCCATTGGATTTCAAGTCCAACTCCTTAACCACTCGGACACCACAGCGGATGCGGATAATAAGCGTTTGTTGGTCATTTGGAATGAATACAAGTACAATACGCCAATCAAAGGCATACAATTAACATTATTTCTAGAGCTCAGAAATTGTAGAAACTAAAAAAGACAAAATATGCACAAAAAATGTTAAGTAAGCAAAAAAATTAACTCGTCATTGTCGCCATTGTATAGTTTGGATTTCTATGTTAGTCCTCTTTAAATTGAGATAATACAGAATATTATGCAATTCCAACAACTTTCGAGCCCTAATTATTACATATATTAACATATTAATATAATTAATAATATTAACATAATTCAATAATGGCGTCAACCATTAAAGTTTTCGTTTAAGTATTTTTTTTCATTTGTCACAATCGTCAAAAGGATCATTCGATATGAAGTACAAATAATCTATCTACATACAAGCAAGGCTGGGCATTAACGAGTTAAAAAGTTAAAGTTAAGTTAAAAAGTTAAGTTACTTTTAACTAAGTTATTTAACGAGTAACTTTTATTTTCAAAAGTAACTTCCAGCTTAACGAGTTTCTTTTTTTTTAAGCAACTTCTAACTTAACGAGTTAATTTATTAATTTGTCCTAATATAAATTTCATAAATTTAAAATTATATTTAGTACTTACTAAGTACCTACTGTAATTAATAAAATTACATATGTTTATTGAAAATTGTTAGACTTCCATTATATTGTGTTATTTGTTAAGCTTTGATAAAAATGTATGATAATATATTGTACATAAAAAAAGAAAATTAACTTATTTTTAACTAAGTCAAGTTACTTTTTTTTCAAATTAACTTTTAACTTTTAACGAGTTAAATAAATAAGAAAACTAAATTTTAACTTTAAACTTAACTTACATCTTTCTGTATTAACTTAACTTAACGAGTTAAAATAATTAGTTAACTTGCCTAGCCTTGCATACAGGTGCAAAATAATATTAATAACATTTACATTACGATTTCACAATATTTCAAATGCAACGTTGTCATCACATTCGTTTATAAATACTTGACGATGATGTACATGCGCACATTCAATTTGATTCGTTCAGGTACTAGTACCTACTTGATATATGGTAGTAATAATTATTTAAAAAAAGTAAAAATCTCATTATGTTACTCGATATTTGTATTTTATTGCAAATGATATTGAAATATACGAATATTCATTTATTTATTGAAACAATATATTTTAACCATAGAAAAAAAAACATAAAAACTGATCAGATGCACAAATTTTTACCTTTTGAAAATCTTTACTTTAAAAACCAGTATTTTTTCCTACATCCAATGAATCTACTCTTAATTCTATTTTCTACTACTAATTCTTTACCTCACTTTGAACTAATTATTTGAATTTGTAAACCAATAATTTTTTGATAGCAAAAATCAATGATTAAAAAATATGTCATTGACTCAATGTATATACAAGTATAACCTGTGAAATTATTTTGTCGCAACAATAATGATAAGGTATATCATGTGTTCGCTGCACTTCATCGTAATCAAATTTTACTAGACAACTATAATGTATCATGAAAGAAACATTGATTATCTTACCTATTGAACCCGTCCGATAAATGTGATTAACGTCATAAATAATAAAATAATAAACAAATAAACAAACAAATAATTTATAAATTAATTAATAAAAGCTTAGCCTGGGTAGTATTTTTATATTTGTAGAGTATGACCGGTTAATATAAAAAGTCAATAAAATCACGACCGAGTATAAAATATAAAGAAAGGAATAATTTGAGAAACATTAGTCGTTTTATACAAAGATAATTTATTTTAATGGTAGAAATTATTCAAAATGAGTTTTTAATAGACATATACATGTTAAGAAATAAAAATACTATGATTATTATTATATATTATTATCTAAAATATATTGATATAAAATATTATTTTTAAAATTAGTTTTTATTTATAATAACAATAGAGTTATATACATCGAAAATATCGAAAATAGTATGTCATAAGGTTATATATTTTTACAGCACATGAATAGTTTATGGAGGAAATAACACACTTACTAACAACACTTCAGAAATCAAACAATGGATACATATGAATCAAAACGTCTATATGTGCGTATAGACAGTTATACAGATCGACTGTATTTGTTAACATGCATTTTTAAACGGATGTTATAGCAAAACTACATTTTAAATCCTGCGGAATAGTATATTTATAAACGAAATTTGCGGAATCGTTTTATGTTTTTTAATAGTTATATAAATCTACTAATTTACCGATTAATAAAATACTTATTGTGCTGGCATTAGCGAGGGGTGCTAAGGGGGCAGGGGTGCAAGTATCGGGACCTCAAACTTAAGGGACCTTTAAAACTAAAATCTAAAATTGAAATTTTTCGTTTTTTTTTTATTTTTCGTGCTCTTTTTCTTATATTTATTTATTGTTTTCCATTCCACAACTTTTAAAATTTAATTTAAAAACCGAATGTCTAAACGTATAATTGAATGTGGTGCGTAAATATGAAAAAAATTTACAAAATAATTTTTTTTTAAAGGATCACTAATTGGTATTTACACTCCAACCTCATGAGATTTAGATCCGGCATGCGTGCACGACTAATTCAAAATATTTTTTGTTTGTCCTGAAGTTATCATTAGTGGAAGCTAGGCAGGGGTATTAAGCATTCCAACCGCTTTTCCACAATTGTAGCACACCTTTTTTTTCCGGTTATGCTCGTTTTTTCCGAGTTTTTACGCCCCTCTAATTGTATTTTTCCAATTTGACCCTAATTAATGGATGTCCATCGTAATTCATGTAAAGTAAACGAGAAAATGTACAAAGTAAAATCATTGGAAAAAAAAAAAATTATTTCATTGGGAATATATTCGATGCTATGTTCAATTTTTTATAAATTTTGACCAAAGATTAACATTCAAAAAATTACTTTTAGTCGATTTATTGATTTGATTGATTAACCGTCAAAAATATACTCAACTATAGCGTGATATGATGATGGTTTAATAACTTTTTAGCATTTCACAAATGTGTATCCCTATGGTAATCAGCATAGGCGCAATTTGGGGGGGCTTGGGTGTGCTTAGCACCCCCGTTTTTGAAATTAGCACCCCCAAATATATTCATGTTAATTAACATTTAAATATTTATTACTCATTATGTATAAAAAACAGAGTTTTTATTGTACAAATATATAATTTTATTATTTAAATAATGGTGTTGGAAATTCGTCCTTCCTCTTTTCGGTCCCCGAACTGGATAATAATAATAGGTAGGGTTACCAGATTTTGAAATCCCTAAACTTAAACAATCATATTGAATAACTCTGAGTAAAGGTTCAGTATAAAAATTAACCATTTATGAGTATACTTTACCATTTTTAGTCGAATTATTGGTAGGTTCTCTCTTTTTTTTTTTTTATCAACCTTTTTAACATTTTATTTCTTACAATTTTAGTAATTTTTTTTTTAACCAAATATTTATCTGCAAAGTTTCATTATGATTGGATGGACCAAATTTTTTAAATAAACATTTAATGTAGAAAATTGATGTAAAAACAGTAAAATCTGTAAAAATTTTAGGTATAAACATTTACTTAAACGATTTTCAAATACATTTCAATCTAATGATTTTTTAAAAAATGTTCAGTATTGGTAAATAAGCACTCGTACATGAGTTAGCTGATATTAAATTTTCAATTAATATCCATAAATATAAATTTTATTACATAAAGACTTTCAGAAAATTAGGTATTTTTAAAATTCTATATTTAAATCAAAATCGCTATTTGAAAATATCTCTGCTACGAGGTAAGTTTCAAATATCTAAGCACATTAATTTTGGAATTATGACTAAACTAAAATTTGAAAAGTGAAAGTCTTATTTTCAACGTATTTTTACCGTTTCAGTATAGTTTTTTCCTCGCGCATAGAAAAACTATTAAGATTTAAAAAAATGACCTATCTAAATTACCACCGCATGTCAATTTAAAATCTAAAATTTCATAAAAAAAACTTTTGGACCAGTATTCCTATGCGAAAAAATGTTAAAAAAATTATTATTATAAATAATAAAAAATATAAAAATTATTAAATATTCTTCGCTTCACTTAGAATCTAAAAATGTTGTGAAAGAAACATTTGTGTTTACAGACGGGTAATTCGTTATATGCGCAATAAAAATATAAAATCAAAACGAGCAATTTAAATTTAGAAATATTCAAATATTTACCAAATATTCTATTAACTGTTGAATTGTACGGGTTGTGGGTGTCTATAACCATTATGGAATATGCAAAAAATAGAAGGGCTTCAGCACCCCAAGATTTTTCATTGAAATTGCGCCTCTGTTAATCAGAGTGTCCCATGATGGTATTTTAATGTGGTAATGAAACGGTAATGAGTACATTGAAAATAATTAACTTACCAGTCACCACAAGGAGGCGGATAGGGCTGCCGGAACACCGGGATTTTCCCGGTGGGCCGCTGCTTATATTGACGAAAATGGGCCGATGAAAAATATAACTATTAATACTATTTACATGTACATATTTACAAATAAAAGTAAATAAATATAATACTTATAATATATATTTAAATCTAGCTTAAATCTATAAATATCATAGTAATTTTTTTTTAAAATGAAGAAGAAAAAAAAGTATTCACAATAGGGTTACATAATTTTAAATATAATTTTATTTTATGTATTATTTTAATTTAATGATCAAAAATTAAAAATTAAATTTTATTCAAAATTTCGAGTGCAAATTTTTTTTTTCTTTAATGCATATTTTAACATATTAGTGCATTTACACTTGTGCATGTTAAAGATCTTTTAGCGCATATTTGATTGGTTTTTAATGCATATAATTCCGTGCTATAATGATAACTGATTGTTCAGATTTAAATTATCATATATAATCACTAATAAAACCCCACGGCAAAGTTGATTACTGATATAGCATGTGTTTCCGCAGTAATTATACGTGAACCATGTAAATAATATAATATTATTAAAATGTTGTATAATCAGGTATCCTTCAAAACGAATTGAAAAGAAAAGGAGATGCAGAAAACAAAAGAGATAAAAATCGTAGAATTGTTAGAAGAGAGCAAAACATGTATGAAATTAGATAGTATAATATATATTATAATTTTAAATATTATTTAAGAACGTCGAAAAAAAAAGGTGGTGCTTGTTGGATCGGTTCTCTCAAAGTTGAAGTAAATGTTTAGTTGGAACTTGGATATAATCATGTGGAGGCTGCTGTATTCTTTTTTTCCCGGGCCGGTCGGATTATGCCTATCTGCCCTTGGTCACCACTTTAGATAAATAGTACATTATAACCTCGCAGGACCACCTGTGTTATAAGTGTATCAATTCGCATTTTGTTGGGATGATTATTCGATTTATACATATTTGTGTAAAAAATATCAAAAGAAAACTGTAATTTTTGTAAAAATCTCAAATGAATAAAAGATTTAACATCCATTTTCATGGTGGTCATGTACATGTATCAATAAAATATAATATTTTACTTTTTAAATTTAAAAGTACAAACTAATGCGCGTTATCACCACGGCATAACGTTAATACATAATACTTATTTACGCATCCATTTGAGTACAGGGGAAAAAGTCGTCAGAAAGAAACTCATAGTACGAGTGAGTCTCATAAAAGACAAATAAAAAAGTGTGCGTAAGAACTCGTTAAAATGAATTAAAGAAATATTCATATTCAAATATTCAAATATCCTAAAACATTATTTTTTTTTTTTAACTATGATATCGGTATGTATTAAAGGATTTCCGAATCACTCGGGAGTAAAAACACCTATTTAAATGCATACTTCCATGCATAATTCCACCCATGCGTAATAATATACGAGAATATATCTATAATAAGAGTATAATGTTATATCTTATAAAACGTTATATTTAAAGTTGAAATTTCATTTAACGTGCATGGAATGATTGGATTTATTTCAATTTGTATTTAAAATTTTTCTTTCGTCAGTTAAACAGTATGTAAAAAAAAAAAAGCTCGAAAGTCATTATATTCATCTTAAATATACTACTTGATTTACATATTATTGTAATCGTTGATAAAACATTAAAGTATATATTAAAATAACAGAATAATACATTTTATAACAATATAGTTTACAAATTAATAATTATATTTTTACTTTTTATACTATTTAGATTTTTAGATATACCTATTTAAGTAAAAAAAAAAAAAACTTGAAAGTTTTAATTAAAGCGCATTTTAAATTAATTATTAAAAGTCAGAAAAACCAAATTGTAATGTAACATTTCAAAAGTATTCAATTTCTTAGTAAAAAATTTGATTGATTACCGTTTTAATTCATACCTAAATGTCTATTAATAATATAATAAGTATTTTTTTATTTTTATAATTTTAACAATTTTAAATATCTCAATATTATTATCAATAATTAATTTAATTTTAAAAACACGAATCAAATTTTTCATTTGGAATTCTCAATACGAAAAATAACATGAAATTACATTACTTGGGAAAAGAAGCCACTCACTGATGAACTTTCAAATTTGGTTAAATCTTGTCTGATTTAATTATGTCTAGTTTTTTTATTTTTTTTTAGTAATAAATCCCTGCACCAATTGCGTTTGAGTCGCCTTGGGGGGCTACCTGGGATTGTGAGAGTTAATAAGTTCTTGATGAAAGAATTTGAGTGGGAAGATAGTCGTAAAATTTTTTATAAAAAAGTTTAGCTTCATCATGAATAGTTTTGAAGTTACAATCTATATGAAAAGTGTGGTTTGAACACGTATGGAGGAGCGTTAACTAATTTCCTTAAGGTCATATTTTGGAAAACTTGTATCGTATTCAGATTAGATTTTTTAGCAGTTCCTCATAATTGCAATCCGTATATCCATATGGGTTAGGTTAGGTAAGGTTTTGTACATAAGGAGTTTGATATTTATAGGGGTGGCTTTGTTACCAATTAAAAGCTTAAGCTTACGTAGTCGGTTATTAAGGGAAAGTCTTTTTTCACGTAGATGTTGAACCCAGGTCAAGCGTTAATCAAGTGTTAGACCAAGGTATTTTACTGAGGGTGATGAAGAGATAGGAATGCCATAAAAAAGTATATTTGGCCAAGGTGCTTGCCTTAGAGTAAAAGTAGTGTGTATTGATTTATTTTGATTTACTTTGAATTTTCTATTTGGTATACCATCTTTCCACAAGGCCCAGATGGGTTTGCAAATATTAGGAAGCCGAGGATGGGTCATCATTAATCGATATAATCACTTTATCATCCGCATAGTCCACGACTGAGGTGTTTGGTGACATGGGTTGATCAGAGACAAGGATATTATATAGCAATGAAGATAATATACCACCTTGAGGAACTCCAGCATTTATACTTGCTATTTTGGACGTAACAGTTCCATAGCAAATTTTAGAGCGATCAGTGAGATAAAATTTGAAAAGTAGGAAGTAGGATGCAGGTAGGAAGGATTTTAATTTAAATAAGAGACCTTGATGCCAAACACGGTTAAACGCCTGAGAAATATCTAAGAAAACACACGTTCATAATAATTTTTTTTCGAGAGAGTAGGATATTGCATCATCCACCCGGTGGACTTGATGTATGATAGGTAGGAAAACCAAATTAATAACTGAGAAGGATTTGTTTTTCAGCGATCATTGGAGTGATATGTTTGAGCAAAAGTTTTATAGGATTTTTGTAAAGAAGGGTAGGAGACTTATTAGTCTACAGGAAGATGTAGCACTAGGGAGTTTATTTGGCTTTTGAATCATAATTATATTTAAAAATTTCTAAAGAAGAGGAAAGTATGATATTCTGAGTATTGAGTTGTATATATGGGCTAGATGAACAATGGCTCTTTTTGGTAGATATCTAGCAACTTTAATCGTAATGAGTTCAAAACCAGGAGATTTATTGCGTGGGTATTTATACATGAGATATTTAATATCATTAGGTGAGAAAGATTTAACTAAAGGCGAGAGTTGAAGAGGAGCATTAAAAGCCGTATTCACAATATTTATGTTTTCTAAATCTACAATATCTGAATGTGGTTGAAAAATCTCGGAGAGATATAGTTTGAATAACTCAGATTTTTCTGAATCAAAGATGGTACGACTTCCTTCGGATTTTTTTTATGGTAAATTAGAAGCTTTATAATGTAGGACTTTCTTAGTATCTTTCCAAAGACTACCATCTTTTGGAGTAAGATTGGTTAAAGTACGAGTGAGAACTGTGTTCTTATGTTTAACGATATGTTTTTTCAGTGAATTTGATAGACGATTATAATTTTGTTTATAAGAGGGTAAGCGAGTACGTTGGTATGAAGCTCGAGCTCTGCGTTTTTCAACTATCATAACACTTATCTTTTCTGGGATGAGATTGTATTTAGACGGGGATATATTTGTGGTTGTAGCAGACCTGGCAGCATTTTGTATAATTTTCGTTAGATTATTCACTGCGGAATCAATATCATCAGGCATTTTTAGTTTGATATTAAGTTTAATATTTTAATTTATAGTTTCTTGGAATTTGCCAAGATCGGTGAATCGGTTGAAAAGATAAAGGAGAGCTTAGTGCACCGTAGTAGAAGCATTAAGAGTAAATAGAACTGCTGAGTGGTCAGAATTTAAGTAAAGAAGATTTGAAGTGTGGCAGTGTATGATTGAATAATTTAGTTACGAAGATGTCGAGTATGTCTAGGTTTTTTTGAGGGGAAAAAGGCCAGTAGGTTGGCCCAGGAGGGGCAAATATTTTTAGTTTTTTGTATTTATAAAATTGTGCAGTATGATACCACGGAGATTATTTGTGCGACAGCCCCATGCTCAGGCGTGGATCTAGAACTCAAATTGGGGGGTCGATTTTTCGAAAGTACAAAAAGATAATACACAATTACAAAATAATAAAAGTAAATTATAATTTCAAATTAAAACGTTATGAATATATGAAATCGTTAATTTTTAAAATTAAATAACAAAGTTTAATCTTGTTTGTTTTATTTTTCCAAATTTAGAAATAATATTATCAACATTTATGGGTATATTCTTGTGAATATTGAGCAAAACATTCCTTTCCCATTTTTAAACGAAACCATGTCTAAAGACGCCTGAGAGTAAAGAATGATCGCATGTATAGTATTTTTTAACAAGTTATTAGAACCTTAATTAGCGATTAGCGGTGCCATAACAAGTATAGGGTATAATTTTATGTAAACATACGGATAACAGAATGGGAGTAACCGAATTGGCTCCCGTTTGTGTACAGGTTAGGCGGGCCAGTACATAGAGAGCAAAAAACAAGATTTTAAAAGCCATATGTATGACATATAGACACAATTATAACATCGATATGATAGACTATATATTACTAGAAACTAGCAAATTACTAGCAAACAGGAAAAAAATAACAAATACAATTTTAATATTAAAATTATATCAGTAAATTCTTTTATTATATTGTAATATTTTAAATTACATGCCTTTTTTTTGGAAAATATATATTCTATAAAATATAATAATTTAGTAGTAACTGGTTGTAGTACTTGACTTTGTCTACGATTTTCAGTGCCTGTTCCTGTGTCTTATTGTTGGTATTATAGCGAAACTTTACATAAAATATGACACGTTTGAATTATTGTTGTTGTCATTCTTGTTAGTTTTTTGATCTTTTCCGTTAGCATAATTGTTTTTCAATACGTGCATTATCTTGGCATTATTTATCGAACGTTTGATTTTTAACTATTATGCATTTTACAACAAATTTTTAATACAAAAAAACACAAACGAAATATATTAAAAATCAACAAGTTATATCGAATCATCGAAAAAATTCAAGATATCTATACGAATTACACGTGGTGTATAAAATATTCTAAATAAATACTTTAAAAAATACATACTAAATAAATTACAATTCCTAATTCGGGAAATATTTTACTATTTGATTTATAACTCGTACTATTATATATAATAGTCTAATATTCTATTGTTGTTTATTTTTATATATTTATGCTACGCGTATTTCTTTTAAAAATCGGTAATTATTAAAATAAAAATATAAAACAAAGTACAATATTTTCTAGGTAACATATATTTTTTATCACTTAAAATGTTAAACGAATAAGTAATATATGTATATTTTTATAGTATATAGATAGATATATGGGTCTACAAAAACATTATAATACCAATATAGTAGATGCAATTTTAATATTCCCAAAGGAAGTTTTGCATAGTAAACACATTTCTTGGCATTGAGTATTAAGATTTTGAACAGATTACTTTAGATCGATCCTAGATTTACACTAAGGCCTCAAAAAACCTGCAAAAAAAAAAAAACTATTTTTTATTACTGACTACTAAGTGCTAGTAAAAATAAATATTCGAAGAAAAAATATTATATACTAATAAAAATAAAATAAAAAAAATAAAAATAAGACTAAATACAGTGATTTATTGTTTTTATTTAATAACAATTCAATTAAAATCATTAAATACTTTTTAGAAAATTAGAAATTAATTAACTAAATAAACTAAATAAACGTTCTATTATATAGATTTAAAAAAAAATTGTTTATATTCAGTCATATTTATCAAACATATTTTTATATTTCACATATTACTTGTATGTTATAATAAATGAAATTTAATATTAAGACGATCAATCTAGTAAATTATAATATCTGATTAAATTATCTAAAGCTTGTAGAAATCTACTAAAACAAACAATATTTTATCTTATCAACCACTTATATATTATCACTATACATATACTCTCCAAATGTATTCTTTTGTTTATATGGTTTTATTTAAATCAAAATAAAATTAAACTTTTTTATAACTTTCATAGAGACACCACAAAATATTTCAATTAAGTTCAAAGAAATTATGATAATTTATTTACAATGGTTAAATGCTATAATTTATTTATTTATTTAAATAAGCCCTAAGTACATTCGTTACAATATTTTACATAAATATAAATGATTTAATTTTACCATTACCTTTTATGATATTCATTCATTTTCATATATCTACATATTTTGTTGAACTTATTATTCATTTTATACTAAAATTAAATTGAGCTTTTTATTTTAACTGACATGACCTACATAAATTCTTCCAAAACTGTACTCGTGCTAACTACCTATACTATTTGTTCAATGGAGCTATCCTTAATACATACAGTAATTTATTATATCAACCAAATATAAATTAATTAGATCATTATTTTAACACGTAAGCATGCTTAATCAGTTATCATTTATGAGCACATAAAAAACTAAATATAAAATCAATACAATTTAACATGTTCAAATGAATAATTCCGTACCGTTAAAAGAATTGAAAAAAATTATTTTTTCATTCTAAAACACTGATCTTCAGTTTTCTAGATGTATATACATTTTTTGTAAAGTTAAGTACTATGTTAATTATATTTTCTCTTTTTAATTGAAAAACTGATTGTAATTTTTGCATACTTGGAATGACTGCAAAATCTCACCAACTATAGGATAACAAAATAATACAAAGTATAAAAGAACCTCATTTTTTTTTATTTTAACTATTTTTAACAGTATACAGTATTTAATTACCTTAATAATTTAGAAGATTTCACATACTAGAAATACTGTAAAATACTATTCCATCGGAATAAATATGGACCTACCTATATTTTAATTTTATGAACGGTGATAAAATAAAAATTTTGGTATTGAAAATTCCTACCCGAAAGCTTAGAGTTATGATCCACTGTACATATCTTTCTAAATATTGAAGTCTGAATATCTCTAGGCATAATTATAATAATTATATAAATAATCTTTCTTATTCCAGTTTATTATTTCTGCTAAAACAATAATCATCAAATTAAAGTGCCGTTTCCAACCACTAAACTTGGCGCATTTCTACATAAATTTCTTATATGAACATTTTACTAAAACTGCAATGAGCAAAACTTATATATTATAATTATAATATAACATTCTACGAAATGAATTCACGCGAAATTTGTCTGTCACAATTTGGCACCAAAAATTTAAAGTTTCAAAATAGTAACTAAACAATTATACTTTAGCTTAACCAGAATATTTTTAGCAAACTTCTATCGTTAATATCGAATAGTATTTGGAAATGGTAATTTTACATTTGTAAAAAATAGTATATTTAATCCATGCTATAAATAACAAATAAATTATTGGAATAATAGTTATCTTAAAAAAGTCTAAGTATAATTTTGAGATCA